TTGTCCTTTATATTGTTTCTTCATTCGTTGTAGTATCACAGGTCACTAATATGTTTGTATTTCGTAAAAAACATTAAAAATCAGTAAAATATCAGTAATTCAGTGAAAAGTTTATATACATAACACCTGATGATGGCTATATATAGCCGAAACATGTCGTGTATGTTCCACATGTAAATCGAGTACTCGATAGGGAACGTAAAATGATATTTTAATCTTTTAATTATATTATATTGTGATTGACGGCTAATTTTAATATATTTTTAATACTATTTAAATAATCACAATATGACGCATCTACAATATCTTAAAACATTCTAATAATCTCCCACGATACCACAAAAACATACATTAAACCTGATTTGTGACATCTTTCACGAAACCTTTCTATCGTTTCGTGAATTTTCATGAATTCCACTCTTTTACCCTGGCACCGACGATAAAAGGACGGATGTCATAAGATTTACGAAAGCGTGTGCCAATCTACAGACGACTTAAAACAGCACTTTAATCTAAGCAGGTAATGACGTGTTTAAGAAATCAAATCAGTATCCGTCAAGAGTCTCGAAGACTTTCATGTCTAAAGGCCGGATATCAGAAAAACACGTCATTGTCAGTGACCTAAATCGAACTGCAATCTGAAATAACCGCGACCCCAGAGTAGTCATACAGGATGCAAAGCTTAGAACAAGAACACGTAAACCAGAAACGTCCTGTTGACTCACCGGTTTGAGCAGAGATGATCATCTGTTTTCGCTGCACTTTGTCATGAAAATAGACAACATGTGCGACTACGCGATGAAAACGTAAACAAAAGTGAAATCAAAAGCGTGAAGAAGATGCAAACACGTGCACAGCGGGATGCGTCATGAGAGTGATGACCGGAAGTCAACGATGGATGCGTCGCGAACCGTATTAGCACTTTGGCCACGCTGCAGTGACCACACTACGTCACTAATGAAATGGTAGAGTGAACACATTCCTGACACACGAATCTTCTACAAATACGCATATACACCCTTTGAAACACG